AGTTAAATAAACCAAATTTAATCATTTTAACTATTCCCCCAATTAAAATTATTTTTATTAGATTATAATGATTTACTCCTTTGGGATTATTTTCTAATTTATTTAATTTTGGTTGTGGGTAAGACACTGTCTGGATGGAGTAAGGAGTGGGTAACAGTAGAGAAGCTGCAGAGAAGTGTGTTAAACTGTGACTCTTATATCCTACGACTTTTATCTTCTGAGAATAGAATTTAACCAGATTATATAACAGTGTCAATGTAAGTCCTCAGCATTCCCAATTTTGGCAACCAATCTTGTTTTCCTGGTTTACTAAGCTTCCGCGGAACTGCACAACTCAAACATTTACCCAGGCTTCACAAGTAGACTGAATTCCTTTACATGCACACACACATCCTTAACTTTTGGAGGACTGGGCATTCATCTCTCGATTTCTGAGCAATGGCAGGTAAGGCTTCTGCATTTAAAGTTCATTCATCGTATTATGTTTGAGCATTGTCAGTACACTTAGAACTGGGCTTTTTTGCAGATGAGCTATTCAGAGTGCGCAGCAAATTTGTGGAAAAGGTGTCAAAATCTATGCTCAAGCAGCTCCTCGATGATCTTTTGTTGGATCGTTTGTTAAATGATGGAGAGGTAGAATCTATAGTGGAGGACAATTCTGCTAAATCGGACATGGCTCGCTGCCTTGTCGACATGGTGAGAAAGAAGGGGGACAAAGCCAGCAGAAAGCTGATCCAGCACATTGAAGACAGAGATCCTTCGCTTTATGAAGTACTTGAGCTGTCCTGTGGTCCAGCACCAGGTGAAACTTTAGTCAATGCAATATATGGCTACAGGTTATTTGCAGTTATAAAGAATACCAATATTAGCCTGACAGCATAATAACTAATCTTTAGTTTTTTTTTCCTCTCAGATGCAGCTCCTCCAAAACAGAAAACCTGGTCAAACACACTCATCCCTGTCACCGACTCCTGGAAAAGGAATAAAATGAATGACGCAGATGTAAATTTCTAAAACAAAAAAAAAAAAAAAAAAATCAAACAAACTGTTCTCTTACCTGATAGAAAAAAATAGCAGATAAATTGGGTGTTGCTGCACCCCCCCCCAAAGAGCATGTTTAATTTTACAGAAAATAAGTAACAACTTACAACTGTTTCTTGTGTGTATTTTTTTGGTTTTTAGATTTACCAAGTGTCTGCAAAGTCTTTAAAAAGTCGTGTGGCCCTTTTAATCACTAATAGAAATTTTACTGATGAACGCTTAACCAGAAAGGGAGCTGAGAAAGACGAGGAGAACATGTTGAATCTGCTGAACTCCCTGCAATACGAGGTGGTGAAACACAATGACCTTACAGCAAAGGTATTTTTATCTTTTCTTTTTTCTACAACCAATGTTGGGAAAAACCACTGTTTCTACAAGTTAATGTTTAGAATTCAAAGGTTCATATGTTACTCTGATTTATCTGCATCTTTATAATACCACTTATAAATGTGCATTTGAACAGAGATTGCAGAAGTCAAGTCTTTTCAGATGTACTTTTTATCTAGTTTTAGGTATCAGCAGGCTTTTTTCTCCAAATTAGAATGATTTCTCTGTAATAACCATAGTAGCAAAATCTGACTTTAACACATCAATGTATTACTGTTGATTTGAGCAACAGCAACATTTGCACTGCTCAGGATGCAACATAGTGATTCATTAAATATTGTATTAGGCAATTGTTACCTCTTAGATAGTGAAAGGTTTATTTTATGCATTATTTAAAGCTAGTTTAGGTCCAACACCAATAATGATCTACAAGGCTGCACATCAATACATAGTCTTTAATTTTCTAGCGTGCCTCTCAACAAGTTTTTTTAAACTTGCCCCAGCTTGTTGTAGATAAGTGAATAGCATAATAACTAAGCTGCAACTGGAATGTGGCTGAATGTGCACCAATACGAAACAAAGACATTCTCTGTATTCACTTTTAAACAGAATGAGAAAATGGATTCCATGTGTACATAGGGAAAATATGCAAAAATATGGTTATTTAAAATATCTTTAGGACATAATTTCACTTTACCTGTATTATCCCAAGTTTTTATTAAACACTGGCTGATTTCTTGTTATCTAACAGGATATTGAAAAGGCTCTTTGTGAATTTACCAAACATGCCAAACTCCAAGACACAGACAGTGTGTTTGTGGTGATCATGTCTCATGGGAAACGGGGAGTTGTGCTTGGCGTCGATCACAAAGCAGATAAACCAGATGAATTCCCTGTTGACAAAATCTATAAATATCTGGGTCCACAAAAATGCTCTGCACTGATGAACAAACCCAAGATCATCATCATCCAAGCATGCAGAGGAGGTACATGTTTTTACCCTTATTTTGAAGCAAATGTTTGGACTAAATCCAGGTTTAATTCAAACTGGTTTGTTACAGAACGGGGTGGAGCTGTGATTGTTAGCGACAGTCCTGAACTTGAGGTGGTGTCTGATGATGCATCACACCAGCCGCCCGCTCATGCAGGCAACATCGTTGAGGACTCCATTCGATATGTTCACAAGGAAAAGGACTTTATTTCCCTGCTGTCGAGCACGCCTGGTCGGTTTGTTTTAAAGACATAAGCACATTTATGTTTTCTTAATTTACCATCAGATTACCATTATTTCATGCAAGAAAATCTTTTTTTCAGACACTGTCTCATACAGAAGAGAGGATTTAGGCTCCTTCCTGATACAGTACATTGTTGAAGTCTTTAACACCTGCTCACATGAGGACGACATTGATGAACTTTTCAGAAAGGTATTTCAATGGTAAAATGTTAAACAATCAAATTCTGAGGAACATCGAATCAATAGAGAAATATTGTGTCTTTTTTACTGAATTCTGCAGGTCATGCAGCGTTTTGAAGAGTTTCCTGATGAAACCAAAAGACAAATGCCAACCAAAGACCGATGCACTCTAACCAGGCGCTTCTACCTTTTTCCTGGTCAATGAGGCAGCATAAAAGTTTAATAAATCCATCAGTTGTTTAGCTAATGATGCTATGGAGTCTTCGTCATCTGAAAAACTACTGTTGTAATACAGTAGAATTATACCTTTAAAAATGTACTTAACATTATTATCTTTACATAAAGTTCAGGTTTTTATCTTACGTAATTTAGCAGAATACGTGCACTTATTAAGTTTCGTTCATAATACTGGAATTTTGCTGCCATTGTTAAAGAATAAAAGTTTGAGGAAAAAGAAAACCTGTCTCTAATTTCAAGTGCTGTTCATAGTGGTGCATTAGGATCTCCTTAAAGTACAGTAAGGTAGGCTATTAGATTTAAACTGCATTTAGCTATTCATTTTTCAAAACTGTCTCAGTTTGGAACAATATATTTAAACATTTTTCATGCATTTTTGGCAATTTACTTTTTCAAAAACTTGCATTGTAAAAATACACCTAAGTTGTTCTCAAAAGTTTCCTTTTAAAATTATTGCTTTTTATTTTTGACCAAAAATTGATTAATATAACTCTTAACTTGGCTTGAATTAATTTTCATCTTTTGAATATAAAGTAAAGAAAAATCACAAGAAACTATAATTATAAATTCTGTGGTCTTTAATGTAATAAATGTGTATGATGATGAAAAACCAAAGAAAGCTGCAAAACTCGGAAAATTGAAGCTTATGTTAAATAAAAATGGTCTTGGTTTTAGATCTAAGATAATTGCAAAATGTCCATCTATAGATCTTCTAATTGAAAACTGAGAAAAAATCTTTTAAATGAGACATACTCATGCAAACAGACAATGTAGCTTATTTTTGTAAAGTTTTTTCCCCTTCATGATTGAGTTTGAAGGCACTCTCCTTCTTTCACTCATCATCGGTTGTGGAGCTTATTGTGGGTCTACCCCTCCCCTCACCCATGTATTGTTTTCTCTAAATCAGTTCACAAAATCTGTAGATCATTTTCCAAATAGACTTTACTTGAAAACAAAAAATAATAAAAACATGTTAAACAAAGAAAACCACTGTATCACAACACAAAGGCAACAGGTTGACTAGGCAACATGGTAACATAGTTGCAGTTTGTTAACGTGGGATGTGTCCATAAAAACGAATGAGGGTACTCTGATTTAGTGCTGATAATGTCATTGACTCATCAGGGGAAAAACGTTGCACAGTTTTACTAACAAATGCACATGTAATTTATTTTAAGTAGGTTCAACTCTGTTTAGCTTAGCGGAACTGATTGGCAGTGTTAAAGAGCTCTGTAGCCATTTTAAATAAGGACACAGTGGCTAACCACCAACACCCAGTTTGACTCAACAGTCCACATTCAGACAAGAAGTCACAGAACATTTGTTCTTAAACATACATGCATACATACAGAGAGGCACACCAGTTAGGTCATAGGAAAAGAACCAATGAATTGCTTTAGTTATGTGTAAAAAAAAAAAAAAAAAGTTTGGCAGTGTGATGTTTCACCAAGTAAAACATTACCATCTGTACAGCCATTGTTTTCTTTTTGTTGTTCCTCCTTGCATTCGAACACAAAACAGCACTTCACAGTGAACTAAACCATGCAGGGCTTTGAAGGAAACCAGAATAAAATATTTGAAGACTGCAAAACTTTAAATAATTAAATATGCAAAATATTGCATTTGAAAACACTGCAGATGACTGACCTTCCACTTTGCTTGTACAACACAAAACAGATATTACAAACAAAGTAGCATCTTATTTGCAAGTCGGAATGTCTAAGAACAGCTTTACATATAGTTTTTTTTTGTAATCTCTCATTTCAGGAAACATTATATCTTTGACAACACTCAGATGAACAGTTTGCAGCACCACATGTTTACAAAATAGCAACTCATGCGAGAACACCTCTGGTCCTGTACACTGTGAAAACAACGCATCATAGCGTATGTAAAGCATCTTCTGCTAAACGTGTTCTAGATTGCAATTCCTTCATACAGTAAACTAAAAACGTTCTCTTCTGGTTTTGCCCCATGTTTATGTGTGGATGTTTAGCTTTGTGAATGCGTGTTTTTTTTTTTATTTTGATGGCGGGTGAGGTTTAAGACAGAGTTCCTCCTACTATGGAGGCGATGACAACTCCCAAAATCACACAGCATATAAGGATCATTATTTTCTTCTAGAATGGGTAAACAAGAACATTAAAAGAAAAGAAAATCCCACGCAGCAAATAGGGAAAAGAGGAAAACATGTTAGCAGAATGAACAGACCTTTAATACACACTGAACAAAATGCAGACTAGAAAACATAATAGATATTTCATATTACTGTATTCTGAGAAAGTTCTAGGAGTGTAACTGTTACAAGCGTTTGTAAAAGCAGAAGTTTGAAATAATGCCACCCAGCATTTTGTTCAACAACATAGAAGATAACAAACAGAGAGAACTCAAAGTAAAAACAAAGAGTAATAAGGACTCAATTGACGTCATAATCTTAAATATATAAATCCTACAGTATAAACACAGGAAAACCAAAGATTGATGCAGTGTCTACCATCAGCCATAAAAGGATTTGTCTGAATGGGATTTTGGCTAGAATTTGATCTGCTATGTTGCAATAGAGCAGGATTTAGATTTTTAGAGGTTACACAATGTTGATTTTTAAAATATAAATGCATGAGATCTGATTAAAAACATGTTTGTTTTTCTTAGTTTAAAGAATACTGAGCTCTCTCTGCCTTATTAATATTTCAAACGTCAAGCAATCATAATCACACAACAGATGTAAAGCCAATGCCAGAGAAACAGAAGAATAATGAGCTTCGGCTCCCTCTAGTGGTTGAATGAGAAATGTTGTGTATTTTGACACCGTCTCAATAAATATAGTTCATACACAACCAATTGTTAGGATCTGGGTCTTATTTCTGAGAGAATTGGTATGCTACCCTGAGGAGTAAGAAGATGCTCTGAGTATTTCTACTCTTCTCTTCCCTTCTCAGTTTTCTGTTTTAGTTTAACTCCATGTCTCTTGTCTTACTCATGCCTCATACTTAGCATGGTACTTCTAAGTGAAAGTCTGCTATTTTAGTCCTGAACCACAGGTCATGGCACAAGTTTCCAATTAAAGAAAAAGATGATGACTTGTACAGTATTAAAAGGCACATTTCTATAATATTTTAAATGAAAAAACTAAACTTTTAAGCTCATTAAAATCTGGTTTTTTCAAAGGAAAAGAAAGTTTTACTGTAAGTCCAGTACGGTGGTCCTTATAAAAGTTAAATTTCAAGAATTTTGGTTGAACTTAAGAGGTAGCTCAAGCTTGATGAAGTTCATACAATGAATCTGATAGGTATGCACATTTTGCTTAAGATCAAGACTGAGGTTTTTATTTTTTATTTATTACCTGTTGATAACGATTACATTTTGTTAATTTTAATCCTTCATTACACAAATTTTATTAAAAGGTATCGTTATTAATTGTTATTGTTACTAATTTTTATTAGTTCATAAAGTTTATCGAGATGTTTGTGCAAAAAGGCCCAATATTTTATTGTTTCAATAACTGTCACTTTATTAAAGTTTAAGTTTTGCAAAATTACAAAATGTGACAAATCCATATCAAGGCTCAAGATTATACAAGCAGGCAGCTTAGTTTTAGTTAAAAAAATAAAGATGTACATTGTACTCGAAGTGTACGATGCTTATTGTTTGCGCACAGCTGAAAATAGACTTGCATTTAGTTTTTTGCATCGTGTGTTTCCTGAAGTCTCGAAACCGGTACTGTATATTCTGGTATTCTGTGACAACCTGTAATAAGTACTGCAATTGTTCTTCATCCTTTGTAAGGAGGCCATCGAACTACTCAACGACGACCACCCCTCACTCTGTGTGATCATTCATAACAGACAGGTTTTTTATTTTGTCCAAAGCTTGGATGAATTGCTCTTGCTGATCCCATGCTGTTGGTGGAAGTGGAAGTGTGAAAAACATTATTGTGTTGGTGGTGGCAAAATCAGCTAATGTCATATTTTGTATTTTTGTGAAATCTGTTGACGCTTTCACTGCTGGATCACATCCACCTTCTTTGGTTTTCATGGCCATTACTCTTGCCGATTTCATTCCCAGTGAAACAACAGCATCAAATAGCAACAAAGCAACTAATAGTTGTGAAAGATACCACAGATTTCCAGAGAGCTTGTGACTTCAGAGCCTGTGACAGTGTTTTGTGTACATTGCCATATTTCTGCATCTCTTGCAGAAGGCCAAGCTCATTTCTTGGAGCACTGATTGACAACGGGCTTTGGATCCAAGCTCTCAAGTAGATCACTATGAAAAACAGGCACAAATCTCGTAAGCCAGTTTCCTCAAGTGCTGTTAGTCGAAACTGCTGACCAAACATCCAGACCTTGAATGTGTAGATGACTTTGGTCATCTATCATGCTTGATGCATGACACCAGCTAGCGCCATGAATGCCACACCATGTGATTACCCACCAACATAGTTGAGTACCAGCTCTGGCAGCTCGTGGTAGTCATCTCTTGGTTGAGATTTCTCAAGGCAGTTAGTTAGGAAAACCAATAGCTGGTCTTTCACATCTTTAATTTGTTCTCCAGTACATTGCTCTGTGCACACTCAAAGTCTGCTGCATTTATGAACTGCAACTGGTCTTTGAATCTTCTGAAAAGTTTTATTCCTGGGCCAGCAGATGTACCAATGCACTTCAAGAAGGCAGCTCCAGTAATCAGCTCCATTATGTGACGGCGGCATGCTTAGTAGAGTAGCTTATATCCCAGGAGTTGTTCCAGATTAGCACATACTCCATTTGTCCCAAAATATGGAATGTTTATAACTTTTTCATTAAAACATTTCATTTGGATTGTTTAATTTATATATTTCTACTTTTAATACATTATCTAATAGTTGATAAGACTGCTCAACTATGGACGTTTTGCTGTATATTCAATCAGCTTGAGCTACCTCTTAATATAGATAAATTGAGGCAATAATTTGCATATGATATTTCATCAATATATGGAATGTTTCGAGAGGGTCGGACAATAAAATATGAAAACTTCAAAAATAAGGACCAACTTAAAGTCCAGCCAACAGAAAATAATACAGCATTCTTATCTTTTGTATATATATCTAAAGGAGTGGTCACACCAAAAGTCTTTTTCAGCAAACAGAGCTACAGATTTGTATGTTTTTCCTATGTAAGCTTGGCAACATGGGCAATGCAGCGCAAAGCAATGCAACAGACATGTTTCTAGTGGATATACAGAGTTTGTGGTATAATAGACCATCATTTGTACTTATTTTTGATAATGACAGCAGGTACTGTAATGCAGTTGGTCTGGTTCTATGAATTTATTGCTGATTAAACTTCCCTTACCTATAGAAAAGTAGATGGGTGTCATCACTATGAGATTGCTCTAAAATTAAATATTTTTATTTTCTTTTTCTAAATTGTGTGTCAAGTTTTGAAAAGAAAACTTGATACACAATTGTCAAGAATGAAGTTCTAAAACTAAGCATTATTTAGTCATATTTAAGAAAATATGAAAAGCAAACAAAACACTATTATCTTCAGCAATATAAAATGACTCGATCAGACAATGTCAAAAGTAGCCATTATATGAAATACATCTTTAAAATCTACAATCTGGAGCCACCTTTATAGCAGCTAATGGCATTTGCTTGACAGTTTTTAATCAGTACTATGTCACTCTCTCATGCCCGCTCTGTGAGGAAGTGTCAGGGTCCTAACTGAGGCCGACTGCAAGAGCAATAATGAGGATGATGAGACACAGTGCGACACAACCTCCTATCAGGATCACCTTCTGGATGGGGAACAGGGAAAGCAATGAGTCAAATAAATTGGACATAGGGGAAGGACGGAAGGAAGGAAGGAAGGAAGGAAGGAAGGAAGGAAGGAAGGAAGGAAGGAAGGAAGGAATTAGTGCTATTTAACGATCCATCAACAGAGGGCAGAATTGTTCTACAACCTGTTGGGTATATGCAGAAAGAAGGTCTATGATCTGTAAATGATGGATGACTGCTCTAAATGATCTAGGTAGTTTCTATCATTTTTGACACAAGCCCCATAGAGCACAGTTGAAATCAAATCATCTAAAACATATACCTTAATTCACATGATACAGATTATATTAGTATAAAAGGTAAACAGAAGATTTGCAATCAAACATATTTGACAACAAGGAATCACTGTTTATTGATTAAGTGAACTTGGAGGAATGTTCATTGCCATGATTAATGATTGAAATAAAAAGTTCATAAGTCAAATTGCAAAACCATGAGTATTACTCTGGCATAAATTTAATGAAAGTAGTAATGCTAAATTATTTACTAAAGCTTGGAAACCCTCTACAAGGTATGGAAGGTTAAAAATCGTGAAGCACTGTAAAAAAAACCTACATGTTTCCATTTAGACCCGGGGAATAAGATTTACAAGATGCCTGATAAATAAATATTCAGACAGCCCCGTTACATTTTAATACTTTTATTTTTATGTAAAGTTCCAGTAATGTTTGAGAAACTTTAATTTGAAGCTTTTTTTGTTTCTTCATGTACAATGTAAGTATAATTGATAAAGAAGGGAAACCATCCAACACTTTCAATCAGGAAATTCAGTCACATACTTCCTTCTTCAGAACTACAGTACACCAATTACAGAGAGAATGTCCTGTGAAGGAGGCTGGGAAAAGGGCGTGGTCAAGAGACAGGGTATTGTTCCTTGGAAAAAAATGACAAAAAATTCTCAGACCATTAAATTAGATTAACTTTATTGTCCCCAAGGTTCTGGCTTGAGAAGCTGACGGAACCAAAGTAGTTTAATTTCCTGGTATTCCTCCTTTCTTTTTTCTAACTAAACAGGGTAAAAAAATGTCCCAGTTTTGTTCCGTAAATCCTCTATTTAACTTTCAAGAAAAGTGAGTGCAATTAATGAAACTGAACAGGAATTAGTATTTTGAACATTTATTTCCTGCCCACCCTTCCAATGGTTTTATATGACAGGCTAGACCCTCCCAAAGAACAGCGGCTTATTGATTTACTTTATTAGTCATTTATTAGTTATTAGTTAAGGTGATTTTGGTGTGGCAGGTTAACAGATTCAATAAGAGGCTAGTTCCAAAGTTATAGTTAAATATCAACTGGGTTAAATATTGTTATTCAGTTGATAATATAGCTTGAAATATACAAATCCTACTTCTTCCTTAAAGTCTACTAATTAAGAGAGTAAAAAAAGAGCTTAAGGAGGATAGTCGAATAGATTTGACACCTCTTCACTCTAAATTTTTTAAAACTTTGTCTCCAAGGTCATCAATTGTACAAGAGTCAAAGCCTGCACATGTGATTTCCTCTCATCTGAATACCCAACTCTCTCCGGGGGATTTCCATTATAGAGCCAGTTGTGTCATATTGTACATCCCTATGTAGTCACTAAATGTCACTGGATCTGGTGTTTTTTTCTTCTTGACTAACCTAAAGGTGCTTTTAGAGATAGAGCATCCAAATGAGTTGGAACCACCAGAGGTCAACGCAGCTCTATCTTCTATTTGGTGTCACACGTATTCAATGCAACCATAAGACATGCACACTTCATAAACAGATTATTGAACGGATAAACATGCACACAGACAGCAACAGACACTGCAATCCACTGGGCGCATGCAATTTCACTGAAGTTGCATTTTCTTGTGCATGCACACTAGACTTAGTAACTCACCCTCCGGGCTTTGCTCTGGTATTTTACCGCCTTCTTAGTGTCTGATACTGCCCTCTCCACATAGTCTACCGAGTGTTCCACATTGTACTCTATGCGGTCTATCATTTCCCCCTAGGAATGTTAGTTAGATTGGAGGTGTGGGAGAAACACAGATGGAAAGTAGACAGAAGGAGCCAGGTGTGTAGGCAGGAGAAGGAGGAGATATAGATAGAGAGAAGGTAAGGAAGAGGGGGGGAGAAAGAGAAGACAATTATGTCACCTTTTTCTTGCTCTTTTTGAACTTTTTGCATTTTGGGATTCGCTCTTTTGCTTCCTCCACATATTCCTGAGTGCTCACAACACACCGCTCAATGTTGTTCACCAGCTCTCCCTGCAAAAATAGGAAAAGACAGTGTTGCTGTAAGCAGAGACAAGAATTTAACAATAGCATCACTTAGATCAGTGGTTCCCAACCCTGTTTTCTTTAACTACCCACAGCTCTTCCACTCCTTAACTCCTCTTCCACTAGTCAAGGTGAACTGTCATTTTAGTTCTTGCATTTAATACTAATCACTATTTTTTGGTTGAATATTGACCAAAGATAAATGTCTAATACAATTATTCTTAAGTTAAAAAGATGCTGTAGTACGTTGCTTACTGGTGCTGAATAAATGTTTTATTTTTTTGTTTATTATTCACACTCATAATCACTACTTATCATTCGGGAAAAGTCTCTAAACTCTACTTTGACCATTTCAATTGAGAAGGTATATGACCAAAGCACAGTTATGCATTATACAGGTATTCTATTCTTAGCAGTTATTTATATATTTTATTTAAGTTTAAAACAAGGAAAGCTAACACTAAGCCACATTAATAGCTGTAGTTTATTTTGAATTCCACACAGTATTCATCTGGAAAGGCTCCTGTGGAAAGTGTTCACAAATGGGAGGGACCTTTAGTGAAATTCTTCAAGCTAATTCGGTAAATCACCAACTGGCACCTGCCTCCCCTGTTGAGCTTTTAGCCAATCACAGCAAGCAGTAGCAGCTGTGATGTGTGACATTCATAATTAGCTTCACAGCTAGTAAGTTAATTGCTAAATCAAATCCAGAATGCGCAAATACGTATTTTTGCCATCCACGAAGGCACAAATCAATCATCCTTTGGCTGTTTAAAAAAAAAGGAATAAAAGAAATAGAGGGTATTCAAGCAAATACAGACTAAATAGCGCAGTCTACAGGTGCAGCCATATTTGTTTAACTTCATCCTGGCATTTCTGTTGGATCTCATAGACGTTACTGAGTTTCATTAGTTTGAAACACATCTGTATTTGAGGATACTGCATCTATTGGCTTCTGGCAAGATGTACATTGGAAGTTTATGAATTAACAAATCACAACAAAATTCATCTTGGTTGCAAGATTAAAGGCCCCGTCATACCTTGACGTTTAAGCCAATGTATGCCTGATGCATGAAAAATCTGGCAAAAACTCTGGCATATGTTGGACAAGTTATGGGCACGTTTTGTATAAGTTATGAACACACTTAAGTACACTTAAGAACGCTGAAACACGCTGGCATATGTCGACATACGGGAAGTGCGTTGAAAATTTTTTAGCATGCTCAAAATTTGCCGATGTTTGCCAGTGTATGCTATACCTGGGACACAAGTGACAGGTAAGTTATTTGATCATCGACTTAAGTTAAGTGTAAGTTACTCATAAGTCATGGTGTCTAACTTATCCAAAACCTATGAGTAACTTGTGCACAACTTATGCGTAACTTATCAAGAACTTTTCTCTAACGCATATAAACATATTTGACATGTTCCAGACGAACGCTGAACTTGTTTCCAACATACAGCTACAGTATAATTGCGTATTGGCAGCGTTTTGGTAAGAATGGGAGTTCACAGGAGGAAACGTCTATACTCCTCCAGACTTCATCCCCAACATAGGGTGAGCAAGAAGGTGAGTGTAATCGATCATCCTTACTTTCACGCCCACGGCCACGACCAACAAGCTTCCTAGCAGACATGATGCTGAATCTGCTATGACTGCAAACCTTCTTTTTTTTTTTCTTTCTTTTTATTTATTTATTTTTTTGGCGGCGGTAAACAGCAGATAGGTTCCACACTGCCTATTTAAGCTCACAAACTTTTTGTCTACTACTCAACACCTGGTGTATGGTAAAGTTTTTTTGTTGACTAATATGATAGATAATATACAGCTACAAGTACACACAAACCGCGCAGACCAAGTAACGAACTGCTGTTATTGAATATCCCCATAGCAATGTCTCCTTATCTTAATGGGTATACTAGTGGAGCTTGCAGCTAGCATCCTTCCATCAAAACAATAAAGCTCTAGATCTAATTTGAAATTTATATCAAGATGTTAAGGTGGCCACCTGGGTCAAAAATAAAACAGAAGCATTGGAGAGTGTCATAACCTATCAGCCAGTACAGCAGTTGGTTACCATGGAGACTGATTGCAGGCCAGTGGACAGCCATTTATCCCAAAGCCATAACCCAGATTTCGGTAGTAACCTCCTGCTGCTGCTTAATAATGTAGTTCATTAATATTCAGATTTTTGATAATCCATTAAACCAATAAAAAGCTGGATTGGAATCCATTACCATTTTGCTGTAAAAATCCTCTGTGATCAAATCATGGTACTCCTGCCACTTCTTAATGAAGAACTTCAAAGAGAACCAGGTGGATGGTAGAATTCCAAGTATTTTTGAATTATCTAATCCATTTTGTAAGAGTTTATACTGTATCTTAAATCTAAAATGGGTGTATTTTTTTAAAAGGCAGCAGGAATTAGTTTTCATAATTATCCTCCCCATAGTAAGAATGAAACTTTATCATTGCACCTTTATGATAAAATAGCAATTACACACTAAAGACAGTCTTCACAGCATGCATGCAAAATAAAATATGATTTTATGACAAGCTGAATTATAAAATAGACTTGAATTACCTTGTGTTATTGGAAGGAAGGAGCTTTCTTTGTTCTCTAGAGCTTAGAGTCATTGGAGCGATGAGAGAGTTGCGTGAATAAAAAGAGGAAAAAATCAAAGTAGTGGATAAGGAGAGACAAAGAGAGATAGAAAGCAAAGCTAAAATTGGTAAAATCACAGTTACATCTGGTAACATACTAAAACTAAAAGTAAAGAAATGAAAATTCAGATTTTAAGACAATCAATCAAATTGAATTATTACATTTTTAGAACAGTCATTACTTTTCAATAGCACATAACTGATTGTGAAGGTCATATGGCTTTCTTAACATAAAACTCCTTTGTCAGATTATGTACCTCTGTTTTATGTTTGGATGTCTGCTTTTAAACTAACTTTCTATAGTGGTTTAGAGCAAATAAGTATATATTTGTGGCAACATCAACATTAAATTTACTTTTGGACAGCTTGTTGCTAAAATGCCTTTGACCTTATAGACCTTGGGTTGCTGATAAAAACTTGGTATATTTATTTCATAAATATTTATATTATTAATAAATACTGGTATGTACAGTACATATAACTGATTGAGACCGATTGAGGTAGGTTGCTTGAGGGATAAAACAAGGTGAAGTGTATGGCGTCAGTATTTTGCCAAATATGCAATAAATACTCCTAAGAGCAGCTTTACTTCATTCAGACGCTCATAAACCACTCTTCACGCGCATGTTTAACATGTTACATGTGAAAATAGGTTCCACAAGTTCTTGTTCCTTCTCTGTGCTCATGTGGTTTGATTTCCACATGCTTGCAGCCTCTCTCCTCCTGTTTCTGTGCACTCATGTCAACTTTTGTGGCTTTGAAAGCATTATCCACCAGAATAAAGCAACCCACCTGTGACTGACTTAGACAAACTTTATTGTCATTTTGTATACAGGGTGTATACAAAATACAATTTGGATGCATACAGCTTTTCAACAGTGAATGAGCAGCTTAGCACTAAAATGAACATTTCCATTTATAAAGTGCAGCGGGGATCATAATGTAAACAGTGTAGGAGAAAAGGAAAACCAGTTTAAAGACATGGTGCGAAAGGCATTGATATAGAAGGTTCAGAGCAGTGCAAAATAAATACATAAATATGGTGCAATATGCAGGAAAACACTGAGTTGAGTTCTATTTAAATGGATTTGAAAATTCGCCATGTAGTGCTAAAATGATGTTTAGAAGATGTTAATCGCATATGTGGACTTTTGGGAGAATACTAACGCCATAAAAGTGCTGTTTATATGACATCTTCAATAAATAAATGACTTTAAACTCAACTATATTTGGTGATAACTCCTGGTCATATTACTTTGCTTAAAAATTAGAAAACAGTGGAAACAGTAATAATGATAAAAGAGAAATAAACACTAATTTCTAGCAAAACAGCAAAACACACAGATATTAATGTAAAATATAAGATAACATATAAAATTAGATAAAAAGTATAAAGCTATTTTTTGGGGTTGATAGCTGAGCTTATTATGTATAACGTGTACGATGATCTGCTCCCAAACTGTTTTTTTTTTAATGAAAGAAACAAAGTAGAGGCTGAGAATAAACCATGCATTTAAAAAGTAAAGGTCATGTTGGAACTGTTCAAAGGTGTTAAAGGAGAAATGTTATTTGAAGAAAAACAAATTGTTGTTCTCTAGATAAAAATGTACAAAACCAAAACAAAATGACATCTTGTGTTGTAATTTATTGTTAATTTCCTTTATCATATACGTTTTTGTGATGTATTATTGTGATTATTATTTTTTGAAAAATGTGTAGGAGCAAAGCATTATGCTTCAGCATAAGCATTATGCCATTACAATCGGTTTTGCTTATGCATGTGTTATTTTCTCTGGGGGTCGGGGGGGTTCAGCCCAAACTCATGTAGTCAAACATGCTAACAGCGGGTCTGCAGTTTAACCAGAAGCGCTGAACTTCTCTGAGGACAGCAGACGCTAGTCTCCACTAGATGATTATTGATGTATGTGTAAGGCTCTAAGGAATTACATTTCTGAATTAGTATCTGAATTAAAATAATCCAGAGATGTAATTCCTTAGAGCCTTACCCAGAATCATTCATTTTGCACCAAGCAGTGTCTGTACTGTAACTAAGTGAAATCATCAAACAATGCAAAATATTTCACCCATCAAAGCTTTATACTTCTTTAACAATTGAGGACCTTAAGTGTCTTTAGAAAAAGTATTTCTTTATAAATCTGAACAGCTGTTAAAATAAATCCACATAATGCTTGAACCAAAACTGATCACTCCTAAAATAGTAAACGCAGTGAGATACTTTGCATGGCTAACCAGATGGAGCTGAAGGTGCAACCTCATGCCAACTCTGATGGCACAAGAAGTCTATTTTTATGTAAACTCTGAACATGTTGTCTGCAAATTAAAAAAACACCACTCATTGCAGTCCAAATACTTTGTTTTTTAAGGCCAAGTAACAGCTCTCTAAACCTCAGAGCAGCTACATTATGAAAAAATAATTTTTTTTTTAAAAGTTTATCTCTATTTTAAAACAAAGTCACCAACATTTTAGTTAACTTGGATTTCTATTCATATGCACATTTGCAGGTTTATTTCATTTGTGTGCATTTGGTAACCCTCAATGTGGAACACAGCAACAGAGAGCATAGGAAGGGGTTTTTCACCTGGCTCTCCACCAACATGGCCATATCCATGAACATGTCGTGAAGTTCTCTGATGCTGTTCTCCAACTTAATAATCTCATTGTGCCGTGTTTCGATCTCATTCATCGCTTGTTGGGTAATGTTGTCCATTATTATCTGACAAGAAAGAAACATACAACAAAGTGGTAGTAGGTAAAAGTACAATACATCTATACAATAAAATTTTAATGGTTCAGTTACTTACCCCAGAGGTAAAGATAGCAGGATTGTCACTCTCTAACATGCTCTCTAATTCCTCATTTGTTGTGTTTCTTCCAGCTAAAGTCAATAAAAAAACAGAGAAACAGGCATACGTGCATTGAAGCCATGTTACAGTGGTTTAATTATCTTGCTATTAGATGCAAGAGAAACAATAATTTCCACTTTCTAAAAAAATCTTCAAACAAATTCAGCACTCTTGTGAGAACAAATCAGGAATTAAAGGGGCGTACATTAAACATTTTGATAACAATCAAAAATGTTAATTGCACTGTGTAAGAAATAGTTGGCACTGCAGTTGTTGCAGTGCCAGTTAAAAGGAAAAGCAGCTATTATTTCCCACATAATTCAGGAAATATAAACCTGTGGATATTTGAAAACATGGTGTTATATGATTATATGACTTACAAAGATTAGTATTTATTTAATGAGTCTATAAGTTAAGATGCTAACTGTGGAAATTAAAGTTAGAATTATATTGATAGAAGCAGGGCTGCTGTACAAAGGCGCCACCAGACCCTCTGACAACCAGCAGCAGGCTTGACAGGAGAAGTGTCTTTCCCAAGGACACAGTGACAGAGATTGACAGAGTAGGGACCTGATTCGGCAACCCACTGATTAAAAGAAGAACCACTAAATCCTAAGCAACTATGTTGATTGCATTGGATTGTATTTAGAGGCACTGCAATAAAGTTGGCTAAACACAAATGCTAACTCTTGCTAAAACTTTATAATTTTTCCAACTGCCCATTGGTCATGAACTTTGTTATAGTCTATAGTTTTTTGGTATAAAGTGACAAAATGTAAAAAAAAAAAAAAAAAAAGAAATGTGGTGTGAATAGTGTTATAGTTGCTACTTTACCTACAGTTACGGACCAGTAGGTCCTTTACAAGCAAAATTAACTGTCTGAAGCAGGTTATCTGCTCAGACATTTGGTTGCATCTTATGCAGCTTTTTCTGGTTTTACTTTGGCATTGTGTAATTTCCCACAAAGATAATATATAGTGCATTATTATGCCAATGAAGATTGTTATCTGACATAGTATTTTATTTTCCTTCTAGAGTTCCTACAATGTTTTTTTAAGGCAGCCATTTATCAGATTGGAATGTGTATTATTCATTACTGCAGTAATGGCTTCTGATGATGTTGTTAAACAATTTGTTCCTCATAAATAATGCAGATCCAGACAGAGAAGCAAATTTTGAACTTAAAACATGAATGATTTAGCTTACTGACTGTTTTTTTTTTTAAAGTTGCTTAACAGGAAATGCAGTTGAGAGGTTAGGAAATCATGCAGCAAAGATACATGAGCAGGAACTTGACCATGGGATGGGAAGGCTGAAAACTGATGCCTCTCTATATGGGTCATGCTATACCCCAGAGCCACCCCTGCACGGATATTTAAATTATGAGGAAGAGTCAAACACATTCTGGTTAATATTCATTGAAAAAATATGACCACTCGCTCAATCCAACCGTCTTCTATGTTATAACCAAATAGTTATACATTATGTATTTCTAAGACAGTCATACTTGCACCAAAACAAATGGCATGAATGATTTATGTATTGTTCCTCTGTTCTCTATATTCAAGGACACAACGATCAGGATGTAACTAGATAACTTTATTAACTTTTTCTTGTTCTTCTACATTTTCCATTCAATCCCAGAGTGCCACCAAGTGGCCATAACATGCCATTACAATTTATAGCAGTAATAAATACTGGAGCTTATCTCTACTTTATGTACAGAATTATAAAAAAATCTAGAGTACAGCAACTTCTTTAACTTTAGACTTAGACAAACTTTGATGTCCTTTTGTATACACAGAGTGTATACTAGGGGTGGAACGGTTCACAAAATCCACGGTTCGGTTCGGTTCACGGTTTCATGGTCACGGTTTTCAGTTCGGTATATGTTTATCCCATAAAAATTGGGAAAATCCCATAAAAATTAATGAAGAAATCCCAAAAAATTAATGAATTGTAATTATTTTTAATGATCTGCGGAAATCATGGATCATTTCCGCATGTTTTGCTGCTTTGAATTTAATCATCTTGCGCATGCCCTCTACGATCTACAAGGAAGTCAGAGCGGAGCGGACGGGAGCCACAGAGGAGGCTGTATGCTTTGCTTTGTGCAGGCGGTCTGGAGCGCAGCTGGGCGGAGCGCTGACGGAGTATGTGGGATTTCTGCGATAGCCTGACATGTTGGTCGT